CGCCCGTCCTCCTGGAGTTTGAGATCTGCTGGGGAGACCGGTGGATAATGAAAAAGGCCAGACAAGAAAAGGAGGCAGAGCAGGCGACCTGAGGGACTGGCTACTGAGGTTGTCTCCGCCCAGCGTCCATCTCCTGGTTATGGTCCCACTTGGCTTTTGAGGAATGACCTAACTAGCATCTACTCAGGGCCTGTCAGGGAGATGCCTGGCCCTCCTCCCACCAAGGCTGGCACGGGACCCATCATGCATCTGGGACCCTCCTCCCAGGTAGCTGAGTCTTGCTTGGAGGGACACAGGATACAGGACGAAAGAAGCACATGTACTCACTCACTCACGCCTCTTCAGACACCCTTCAACACCAAGGCCCAGATCCAACAATCCACCACCTTTTGTTCCCCAGACCCAAGGGCCAGCCCAGGTTCCCACCTGTGCCAAACCTGGTTCTTTACTCCTTTGGTCCTGCAGTTCTCCCATTTCTGGTCATCCATTCCCTTTTGTGCTTCACTTATTCAGAGGTAGTTTTCATTGCTTTCAAACGAAGAACCTGAGTGGGACACCTGGCCAATTACTTTTATGTCGATCAGGGTTGGAAAAGATGCGGGAACATGACCAGCGTTCAGGGAGATTGATAGAACTACCCAGAGCAGAGATGAGAACAGAATCAAGACTGCCCTGAATGTGGAGGGCATGGAAACACTTCTGTGTTGGTCAGATGAACAGAGATCTTAATATCGCCTCCCTGCTCTTCACCCCGCCCCCCTGCATGTTCAGTCCAGTCCCCCTGAGTGGGCCTGTGGATGGATTCAGTTCTCTAGGTCACTCGTCTTGCCAGGCCCACACGTCCCCAAAGGCCTGATGGCCTGTACGAGTGAGCACACACAGTTCCTCACACTGAGCTTTGTACCATCTGCTCACTCACCCTGGGGATCATCTGGGTTGAACTTTTAATCCTTGATCAGTCTCCTCTCACCATTCAGCATGCTCAGGGCGGGATGTCTTCCTTCCCAGTTGTTCAGGGCATGTTTTAAAACTACTTTGAACGAAAGCATTGGCACTCCGATCTGCGGCTTGCGGCTCTCTCTCATGGTATCTCTGCTCCTCTCCTCCAGGCTATGTGATTGGGAACCAGCTGCTCTCTGCTGGTGGGGCTAGGCCTGCATTGTCATTTTAAAAATCATTCTGAGGTATTTCCAATGTGCAAAAAGGCATAAGGAATACTACCAACGAACACCTGTGCGCTACCCCTCTGCTCCAGAAATAAAACGTGGGCAATACAGTCGGAGCTGCCTGTGCAAATGCCTCCTTAGCGAGCCGCAGCTCTAACCCAGAGCCCTGCCGTTGGCACTTAGGCTTGGAATCAATAGCAATTCAAGGTGGGCCACCATTAAACATAGCTTCTGTGTCTGATCGGGTGGAGAAATCGCTCACAATTCTGATCCCTGTCACTGTATTTTTCTGCATCCCAAATGGGTCAGCACAGGCAGGGCCTGTGTGTCGAGCTGAAATTTTGACTTCAGCCCACTGCACCCTCTTCTCATCCTAATAATCACAGCACAGTCAAGGTGGGGGGTGCGGGTCAGACCCGAACTGCGATGTTATCACCCAGGCCCATGACCTTTCCCTCTGCCTAGCCCGCCTGCAGGCTTCTTCAGGTCGTGCTCACTCTCCCCTCCCCCCCTTCCAGCTGTGCAGTGTATTACTGGCCCAAGATTCTCCCTCAATATTTGTAACTTGTCAATATCCACTATCATTTTCAAGCTCTCTGACAGTATCCGACACTTTCTATAAAACTTACAGTATAAAGAATTGCCCAAGAATGTTCCAGTCTTCTGCAGCCCAACGGCCTGTTACAGAGAGAAAGCGACTAAACGGTACCAGCATTATCCCTATTTTGCAGATGAGGAAACTGAGGCTCAGAGAGGTCTGGCCCTCCAGCACTGGGAACTCGGGCGGTATTGAGGGGTGGTATCTAACTTCCCTGGAATCTTCCACCATAGGCCGACTCTGACTTTTTTGCCAGGCTGGTCCATCCATTGTTTGGGTTGGTTGGTTGTTGTTTTTTCCCTGCCTCATGTGGTCACACCACATTGCTCAGTGAAGGGACCCAGGGTGGCCTCAATCGGCGTTTGCTGTGAGTTCCACATCTGTACCAGCTGCAGCCGCAAACCACCACCCAGGTGCAAACTGGAAAGTACAGGCTGCTGGTTTTGCTCAGCTGTATCATCCGGGACCATGAAAGTCTGACAGAATAAACACTACTAATATTCACTGGAAACATCCACGGCGGCTTTACATACATTATTATCTTACAAGAATGAGATTCTTGACCCAATCTGAGAGTGCTCAGCATCATTTGCAGCCGAACATTCCACAAAACAAACACCCAGACGGGGCAGCAGCAGCAGCGGGCCGGAGCCACCTGTGTGGGACGTTGGGTGGCCCGAGGTTCCCCCTCGCCCACACCTCCACATAGCATCTTAGTCCCTGGCCTTTGGGATCGCCTGGCCTTACACTGGGGGTTTCTTTGTCTTATAAACAGCCAAACACATGCCTGGGTTAGCTGTTAGTGCGGAGGCTGGTTCTAGGATTGCAGAATTACATCTGTCCCAGCCTGAGCAGATGGCACACACCGCATAGCTGACTAAAGTTAAAGAAACAGAGAACGCGAAGCCCAAGTCCGGTTTTGAGTCTCTGCCTGGATCTGAGCATTGATCAAATTGCGAAACATGCTGAGGACAATCGTCCCCAAACCATAGGTTGGGGTTACCCGATATCCGTCCCTCTCGGCCACAGGCCCTCGTGCTGTGGGCGATTCCACTGTTCTCTGGCACTTCTTCCATTTGGTCAGGAGGTTTCCAGGCCTAGAGAGAGGCAGGGGATGGGGACAGAAATCGAGCACAGGGCTCTGGAGGCACGAGGGTGGGCTAGAATTTCTAAGAAACGGGAAAGGACGAAGATTGTAAATGGAGCAGGCCCCAAAGTCAGGAACAATGGTCAAACTGGCTTCCTCCTCAGCAAATAAAAAACCCGCTGCTCTCTTGTATGCATCCAGTTGGAAACAAAGCCTTAAAAAGATGCCCTGCAGTTGCAAACTGAATGCAAATTATAAATGAGTGGTGGGGTGGACACAGCTCAGCTACCGGGAGTCCAAAGTCAACCGTAAACAAATGAAGCTTGACTCTCAGGCCAGGTAACGAGCTGAGCTTCTAACTTAAGGACACATTGATTTCACTCTCAAATTTTTGTTTTAGTCGGTTAAGCTCAAGAGCACAAAGGCTTGAGAAAAGCTCTCAGGGGTGTCGGTCCCAAGCAGGGTCACCCCGGGAAGCAGGTGAGGAGGGGCAAGAGACTTGCTCAACTGAAGGCACTGGGAGATGGCACTATTTGGGCTGTTTTTTGGCCTCTAGATCAAAGGCTCGTGCTCCTGCACGAATGTCCATCTTAGCTTATTCACCGAACCAGCCAAGCAGCAGAGGATATGGTGCAGGGGAAGCTCCCCGTACCATGGGACTGTTTGGGGTGTCTCTCTTCCCAGAAACTCCGTCACCACCACGCTGGGGGCTTCCATCTTCACCTGTACTGTCAGCAGACACTCCAGCCTCGGTCTTCTTCCAGAGCCTAGATTACAACAACTACCATTTACTGAACACCTACAGCGTGTCAAGCTTGGTTGTGGTAGGAGCTTTGAAACAGTTTGAATCCATATGACTGCCCTTTGGGGGAGATTGTGTTATGCTCATTGTAGAGATGGAGAAACTAAGGCTTCAGAGTGTACCTCGCCCCACATCACACGGTGAGTAAAATGGGGAGTAAGAATTGGCACTTGTAGATAAAAACATGTCCACGAGGAGCCTCGTAGTGCAGTACGTAGTGCATCAGTCTCATAAAAACATGTCCACGAATTCTTTAGTACTCCTCCCTTCAAAAGGTGGCACCTAAGTCTCCTCCCCTTGAGTGTGGCTGCAGTTGTTTGCTGACTTCTAGAGAATGTAATGCCTGTGCCATCTGAGATTAGGATAGGAAAGGAACTGCGGTTTCCCCCTTGCGTTTTCCCTAGATCATTAGTTTGGGGGAAGCCAGTTGTCATATCGTAAGGACACTCACAGAGCCCTATTGAGAGGCCCAAGTGGCAAGCTACCTGCCGAGTGAGCCATTTTGGAAGATCTTCAGCCCCAGCTAAGCCTTCAAATGATGGCAGTCACCTTGACTGCAGCCCATGAAAGACTTTGATCTGAGCAGGAACCAGCCAGCTAAGCTGCTCCCAGATTCTTGACCCACAGGAATTGTGAACTCGTAAATGGCCATTGTTTTAAACCACTGAGTTTGGGGATTATTTGTTACGCAGCAACAGCTAATACGGCTCCTGGGCCTGTGCTCAGCCTAGCAACTGCTGCTGCCTCCACAATAATGAAATGAGGTAACTACTTCTTGGGAAGACTGAGAGACGCTGGCCTCGAGGGAGGGAGGGTGCATGAATTTCAGAGGATAAAGGTGAGGGATCATTGCTAAGGTAGCAGCAGGGAGAGTCACTTCTCAGGGAGGTCTGAGTCCCAGAAGATTGGGTGGGTGGCAGCCCAGGAGACTGGGGAACCAGCTGCCAAGAGCTGAGGTAATAAAGGCCCAGGTGCTCCCTTCCTTCTGATCTGCTAGGGGCTGGTTTCTTCTGGAGTCCTCAGGTCACATGACAGGAAGGAGTGATGAATGGGCAATTAGAGGCTATGACCTTTAGCGAACTGGACAAGGGCAGCTTCCTCTCCTTTCAAGACACTGCATAGAACAGACAAGTGTAGATAAGAGAACAATAGAAAACTCTGCCTTCAGTTACCCCAGTTTCAGTGCAACCAAGTTAATTTGAGTCATTCCTCTAAGACACAAAATTACTGACATAGGAGTATACGGTTGTGTTTCCTTAACAATCTTAATTCCAAAAAACAACATACTGTAAAACCCTCCCCCCAATAAAAACAAACACCCCACAAATCCAAATAAAATGTCAAGTATTTGAACAATGACAGGTTTATTCTTTTCTTAAAGCTTGAACAAATACATCTTTACACACACAGAAGTTGGTTAAAAAAGGAAGCCCTTATGCTTTGTTAAAAATGAAATCCATACAGAAAACTTTCTGGCCAAACTCCCGACGCAAGGAAACATCACATTTCTACAATACATCCACTTTTGGATACATGTGTGTTTTCCAGTAGATACAACTCATTCAGACCTGCCTGAACAAAGGGAAAACAAACTTTCAGGCCACAAAGGGAGAAAAATACAAGCCTCTTATAAGTGTTAAAGACAAGTAGCTAGGGAATTCTGAAAATTCTCAATAAATAGTTCATAGTATAAAAATTCTTAACTCCATATAGTTTACCATTATCAATAGCAGCCCCAATTATCACTATAATAAAGCATTCAAAGAACATTGACATAACTATGCATATTTATAGCAACGAAAGAAAAATGTAATGTTTAGATAGTCTAAATAATCCCCGAAGAGGGAATGTCCAGTATAAATTAATACTTGAAGATTCCAGCCCAGCTAGAATGAATCAATTTAAAAAATATAACATAAAGTATTATAAATATGGGGTTCAGGAAAGCAGGTAAAGAGGCGCTACTACTTACTAAATGCAGGAGGTATCAAGCAAAAAATAAAAGTTACTCGCTTTGAAGGGAATGAATACTAATAAAAATAAAGGAAGATGGCGTGAAAGGCAGATATAAAATACAATTGATCCTTGATGTGAGAATAACTTCATTCCTTGCATCTTAAGAATGTTTTATGCTCTTCTAGAGAAACTTAAAAAAAAAAGCCATGCAAATAAAATTCTAATTACATGCCGGTTGAGTAGCTCCATCCAAGGTCTGTCCCAGAGGGTTTTTTCAAAGAGGTTAAAAACCTGTTCTAATTGCCATTCAAATCGATGTTTACAACCAAAATAAGAAGAAATCATCTACTCCCAAAGCAAACGCTATCTGTAGACTTCACGGAAGAACACTTTTTGGTCCTTTCTTGAATAGAAAGGAATTTCACCTATTGGAAAATTTGGGGTAAGGTGAGTGGGAGAGAAAAACAGGTATGCAGGTAAAAAACCTCATTAAGTTAGGCAGAATATAGCAAAGACCAACAAAAGAAAAATGCAAGCAAGTTTCTGCAAATACAATAGTTTCCTCTCTCGGTGACAAATGAACATGACAGCTTTATGTTCTCAGTTGACAAACGGGTACTTGGTCCTAGCAAGGGTGCAGAGGCAGCCTGGGGGTCTGACTATAATAGGTGTTCCTCTCATATTGGGGGAATGATGAATTAACTACGACTTATCAGGTGACTAATAGAGCCAGCAATGAAATGGTTACAAAGACACCTTCAGAAACAGGCCTTTTGAAACTGGAGACAAAGTTTTGGCCAGAGATGAACGTGTGACCATGTGTGAAAAGTTTTTAAAAGGGGCACTGGGTACAGGTCTTTTATTTTAGAAACACCCACTCTGGCTGGTGATTCTTCTGCCTGAAAAACCACCTTGAACCTCTCCATAGCTGATGTGAGTGGACAGCAAGCAGCTGTTTAAAATGGCCTAAAATAGTTAATTCGGTGGCTACACCCAGATAATCACTGCTATAGGGTATAGAGTCTAAGGTTGATTCATCCTAACATGGTAATCTGGATTGCAACAAGGCAAGCACAGTTTCTCTTCCAAAGATGGAGGGAGGGAAAAAGGCTGGAGGTCCCCAAACCTGACCTGCTAAAGGAAAACCGACACATTCACAGCCTTCTTACCCGGCGGCTGGCATGGCAGTCGAATGCCATGTAAGCTCCTTAGAAGGATACTCAGACCCTGTTCTCTACTCCAGGGTCCCATCAGCCTCTCTCTCCCCAGAGCTCCCGAAATTGCTTATCAGGCATTGACCTGAAAGGAATAGCTTCTAGTTTTAAAGAGCCTTTAAATAAGGGATAGGAATCATTGTAGTTGCCATAGTAAAATAAGAACAGAAGCCCACGGTTTCAGTCCATTTTAAAACTAGACATCTTTTCCCTCCTTGCTACCATAAATACTAAATGAAAGAAGAAGATACAAATAAAAAGGAAAGGTATTTTCCAATGATGAACACAATGGAGAAAACCACCAAATCAAATGGGGAAAACCATGCCCCAAACAAAACAAACCCCAGAAAATACTACAAACCTATGTCCTTTAGAGAGTGGTGTTCGATATGAAAGGTAAAATGCTTGCATCTTCCAAAGTAACACGTGACTCGTTCCGAGTTTTAGGAAATTCTTGAACAGAAGGTACCCATCAAAGTAGTGAGGTAGCAGCATTATCCCTTTTCCAGCATCTTCAGGAAGAGGCTGCACGAGCACCTGTCAGTGACGTCACCAGAAGGAACCTTGCTTCTGATAGGAGATTGCACTGGGTGAGCGCTCAGGCTCCGAAACGCTGAGATTCTAGGATAGGCTAAAAATACTGCTGTGACTATGGTTTCATCTGACCACGTGTAGCCCTCTGAAGTGAAGTCAAACTCAAATAACAAGACACTGCAAATTAGCTTAGTACAATGAGATATTTGAACTCAGATCTATCATCTACACTATAAATATTTCCTAACACTATTTGTGTCCATAAGTATTAAAAATCTGTTTAATTTCAAACCTACCTACTCTCAACTTCTACTTCAAAATGTTAGCTGATATTCACTATACAGAACCAGGCAAAGACACTTTTAAAATTAAGCTGCTACCTAAGGCAGTCTTCATTATTTAATAACAGCTACCTCTATTTTCTGCCCATCTTTGGGATCAATGCCCCTTATAGATTTTTTCCCCTCTTCTTTGACTGATCCTTCAGTCTTCTGCGGAGGTGGGGGAGGACAAATATAATTATTCCCATTTTACAGATGAAACCAAGGAGGCACAGAGAGGCCGAGTGACTTGCTCAGAGTCACCAAGTCTATGACCAGTCTGGAAATACAGTGCCGAACCTCCTCCCACCTCCTTTTCACAAAATCATCAGCAATACTTACGGAAAGTGTCATACATAATATATTGTCTTCTTCAATTAAAGCCAAGAGTTCAGGGAAGAGAGAAGGAATAGAGAGAGCTTTTCTTGGTAACCCTGTTTCCTTTTAGAGGACAAATGTGTTTTTCCTAAGATGCTGATATTATTAAAAACTCAATGCTGAGAAACAAAGCTGTGGCCTTGACTAAGCTAGACATGATAGACAGGCTTTATGTTTCGTGACTCGTAGCTTCCTGAACCGCAGTTCTCCCAAGAGGCTCACTGGACAATGGTCAACTCTGCATCCAACGTTCACGCAGTGTTCCTATCATCTTAGTGCTTGTTTGAACAAAAAAGAGCTAATTTAATAGTATGTTGGTTGGTATAAAGAGATAAATAGTATTATTCAGTAATAGTCCTAGAATATAGAAACATAACATTGTGCCCAAACAATTCATCTACAAAAAAGTTAAGACTGGAAATTTCATCTAAAATTGTTTCTCAAATCTATGGTTCATAAGCAGACCATTCATTTCTAATGTCTAAATACCTTCAAAGGAGCAAATATTTATATATTAGTTCAATCACATGAAACCCACCCAGATAAGATCCGATCTGAAAACACTCTCAATGTAAAGTGCCAGGTTTAATGAAAAACAGTGTATTTGCATGCTGTTAGTATGGCTGGTATCTAATGCTGCCATGGGGTACTGCTAATTTAGAGTTTGCCATCTGGGGGGGGGATATGTGCCACTTTTATTTTCTCTGTATTAAAAATATTTGTCTTTAAACAAAAATAAATTCCAGTGAGCCTCTTATCAGGGAGGAACATTATCAAGTTTGTAAAGCAGTCACAATGAAAAGAAGCCCAGAATGTTAGCAAAAACTGCTAAATGTGCTTGTTATTCTATATATAAGATGAATTCACTATGAAAAAAAAAAGAATTTGTTAGGCTGCTTTGCTTAATTTGCCTATCTCCCAACATAGGTTTTGAAATATTCCTCTAAATGCCACAACTTTATAAGGGACATATATAGGTTCATGGTATTTTCTACTGCAGAAATTTCTTAGGTTTCACCTCCCTGCCCCCCCCCAAGACCTCCAAAACCAACCAAACATAAAAATTCAAAAACCCTAAACCTAGCAGAAAGAGTTTACTAATCAAATGAAAATTTCCCATTAAGACACCAACAGTTAAGTAGCTAATAAAGAAATAAGCATCAGGGGCCAAGAGTTGGCTTGGGACGCCAGCTCTGAGCAGCAGGACCCCGGTTCAGATCCCACATGAAGGCCAGTGATGCTGCGTCCTCTACAGCTAAGATGGTGAACAACAGCTCGACCTGGAGCTGGGCTGCTGTGAGTCGCCGGCGATGGCAGAGGCTGCAGTGGAACTGCAGTGGGCTGCCGTAAACTACCGTGTGTGCCTGGCAGCTAGTGTGAGTGGCCGGCAACCGGTGTGAGCTGCCATGAGCCGCTGTGAGCGGCCGTCCAACGGCTGGCGACCGATCTGCCTCAGCCAGGAAGAGCGCAATGATGGTGCCAACTTGGGCCAGTGAAGCAACGTCCTCCACAACTAGACTGAAGAACAAAATGACAGCAACTTGTCTGTTCCCCTTCCCCGACTCCCCAAACTGTTCCCCTCCCCCAATTCCCCAATAAAATCTTTTAAAAAAAAGGAAAGAAGCACCACATTTGTAATGGCTAGATAAAATCAATCAAGTAAATAAAATCCATTTGTTGTTTAATCTTTAAAAAACAAACAAATACCTACTATTCATGGGTGTTTTAAATACCCAAAGTTTAGCACTCTGAAGCCTTTGTATTAAATCAAAATCCTAACCATCTTTAAAGCTCCATTAAAATAATCCTGGAACTCTGGAATGTTCCCTGTTACAGCTATATTAGCTCTTTAGTAAACCATCTGGTGTTACTAGTTTGAACTATTTGTATCCATATCTTCCATTCAAAAAGAAATTAATGCAGATATCTCACACCCCTTCATTATAGGTGGGGCTCATAGCAGTGCAGGTAGTCAATTTAAGGAACGGGTCTTATTAATTAGGTGTTGTGTAAGACCCAAATATATGTGTATACATTTCACAATATTAAACTATTAAGTAACTAGTAAAAACGAAGTCAATTGTTAAGGAGCTAGAAAACAGAATCGTATTTTTTCCTCCAAACTAAGGTATGTGTGTAGATAATGCAATCTAATTTTAAGTAATTATAATACAATATGAAGATTTGACATTATAACATAATTTAATAAGTCCTAAATATGCTACCAGATTTCAAACAAACCCTTAAATATAATCTGCTAACATCTGAAACAACACAAAACCAATGCAGAAACTAATTTTTTAAAAAGCCTATGTAATGAAGGTTATACATTAATAGTCACAAATAGTTATCTTTTTAGGTTTCATAATATATACAGGGTCCAAATAAGTCAGTTTGAATTCTAATTAGAATTGTTAAAAAGTCAAGTTTTTCACCGAATGTATTCATCATCAGAAAAAGTTTCTTGGGCTTTTAGGTAAGTAGAGTTTGAGTATTCTGACGTTAAAAAGCCAACACTAGGCTTAGAAGTACAGAGACTGAAATAAAAAAAAATCTGGGATACTCAGAAGGTAGACTTTACTCAAATATCTAAAAGATATATACAAACCACTCAGAAAATACTAATAATAAACAAATATTTATCTTCCCAGCCTATTCTTGTTTTAAAATATACAATTTGACCACTGATATAAAATACTTACACTTGGCTCTGACATTTGAGGTGTGCTTTATTTTAAATACTTTAAGAAAGGATTTTCAATAGCTAGTTACTATTAAAAAACACCTTCAAAACATTTATATTCAAAATGTATAAAAAGTACTGATTTTATTGCGCTGCAATATATATTCTTCACAGAAAGATTTTATGTTAAACAGTTTGCAGTATGAAGCAACTTTATTTACATTTGCTATAAAAGCATTTTGAAAATTTCAAAGTCTAATTAATTTTCTTCAATATAGTTCATCTTCGCCAGGAACAAAAGCAAAGATTCATGTGGTATCTCAATTGGTGAATAAAAAGATGTATACATTCGCTCTCATGTTGATAAAACTTTTGTATTCAATGAGTATAAATAAACTGTCAGGATACAAGGTTTTTAACGGTATACAGTGGACTTAAGGGGGACAATATAGCCTCTGACTACTTAGGAAAATGGCAAAATCACGAGTAGCATAATTTTGTAGTATTTCAATGGTATTATGTTTGAGAAAAAGGAATCTGCTCCAAATGACTTCATGAATAAATAATATTTCAGTGAAATGAACAAATGAACCTGGTTCTGAGAGAAAGTTAATGTAAGTAGGATAAGAAAAGATTTGAATAAAGCAATCACCAAAGAAAAATGTACCTAAAACAAGAGCCTGGTGGTCCCACTATGCTAATGAGGGTCAAAGCACAGGATTAACCCTTAGAGCAAAGACAAAAGTAACTATACACTGAATGTGATCACCATTAAAATACACAGCACCTTGCTATCTATCCAAACATTACTCCATTACTCAACACGGTGTGTGTATGTGTGTGTGGGGGGGTGTATGTACAC